TTTCTGATGTGGAAGATCAGACTATGCTGCAACCACAGAGCATACTTAGACAGTACCTTGGCTCTGATACCAATTGTTGCGGAAGCCAAATGTATATAGTGTGAATGAGTCACAACTACTATACCAAAAATTATGACAACCACTAAATAATAAACAAGACAATAAGACAACAATAAAAGAACACCAGAATTTACGAGGTTCTGCCAATTTTGCCTACTTCCTCGGACACAATCAATATTTTATTCCATTCCAAAATTACAAGTGAAATAATACTAAACAGAGAGGATACAAATGCCTTAAGAAGATAAAAAGGCAAATGAGAGGTGTGTTTAAATCCTAAACATTAAGCCTCCTTTTATAGGGTGAAATTCCCATTCAAAATTGTCATCCACCGATGTGGGACTTTTGACAATTTCAACAGGGTCAAAATAGAACAAGTCAATAAATGGGCGGATCATTGATCAGCCTAAAAGTTTCTTGGACTGAGATGGACTAGGTCAAGAAAAGCTAAAATTTGACATTATTAATTTCTTGAAGTTGCGTACACAACTTCAATATTCTCTAGGATTTTCCATTTTCTTGAAAAGTTAACTGGCCTTAAATTTAGGGTTAATTTCATGCGCTGAACTTAACCCGTTGTATTAGTAAAGTCATAATAAAGTGAAAGATCACTATTTTTATTGATGATTTTTTCTTAGCTGACCTAATAATTACATTTAGTTATTTAATGTCAATGACTATATGTCACACTTTTTAATGGATATTTGAAGCTATCTTATTATACAGCATTGGAATGTGGTCTTCCTTTCCTAAATCCCTACAAGGATCAGAATGGAAATTTCACACATGGTGCAAATTTCGCAGTAGCAGGAGCTACTGTTTTGCCAGGTGAAATCATGGCTGAGAAGAAGATTTCTAATTCAGTAACCAATAGTTCATTAAATGTGCAACTTGATTGGATGTCTTCTCATTTCAAATCCACTTGCTCTACTGGTAATTATATTTTCGAAATTTTTTCAAAAGGAAACGATATTGTTTGGTCATTCATTAATTACAGAATAGTGTTTTTTGTTTTTACTTATTTATTTTCTTTTGTCTTTGCTAGAATGCTCAGAAGACCTAAAGAAGGCACTTTTCCTGGTTGGAGAAATAGGAGGAAATGAGTTTAATTATAGTTTATTGCAAGGTAAAGCAATGGAGGAACTTAGAGCTATGGTCCCTGAAGTTGTTCAGACCATTGTCAATGCTGTTAAAGTACGCTTTCCATTTTCTCTGTTTTTAGTATGTGAAACTCACGAAAGATGTTTGGTTGCCTTAGACAAATAATCACGAGCATTAATGTTTACGTCTATTCACCAATATTTGCAGCAAATCAATAAATGCATGATATATGTATTTCGCATAAATTATAACACTTAAAAAGATAGTCCGGTGTACTAAGCTTATTCTATGCGCAAGGTCCAGAAAAGGGCCGGACCACAAAGATCTATTGGATCCATATGTATATTTTTCATCTCAATTTGAGACTGATGTTTCTCTTTAGAGTTAAATTAACTTGATTTATAACTATATCGGGTACAAGTTATCTAATTTTTACCACTAGTACAGTATCACGAGCATTAATAGAAAGACATTTTAGTTGCCTTTGATTAGAAACATTTTGCTAATTAATTCATTACCTCTTTCAGACTATCATTGGGTTTGGAGCTGTCCGAATTGTCATTCCTGGAAATTTCCCAATTGGTTGTATACCAAATTTGCTAACAACGTTTTTGACCAATAATTCAACTGCGTACGATGATAATCATTGCTTGAAAGATCTAAATGACTTGGCAATTCTCTACAATCATCATTTGCAAAAAGCCATTCAAGAGCTGAAGAAAGGACATCCAAATATTACATTGGTTTATGGTGACTACTACAATGCCTATCTCTGGCTTCTACAAAATGCCGCAAATCTTGGTAAGTACTCAAAATAACATTCTTTCTATTTTTAACCTTAGTTTATTTTCTTTTAACAAGAATTTGTCCACATAACATTTTTTTTTCTTTTGATAAATTGATTCCTTTTCCACCCATTTTTCGTCCCGAGCACCCTTATTGAAATGATCAATCTGCACTCTCCAAAAATAAAGTTCGTAAAATGCAATAACATTTGAGAAAGTAACACCAAAGTGATCAAGAAACTAAAACAGTGGCGGTTGCCAGAGCCAACAATTCTAACAAAAGAGTTAGAAAAATGTAAGAATACGTCGCATGAGATTTAAACATGTGTTATAGACTTCCCTAATGTCAAGGGGTTCAACAAGTTATATATTGCGTGGTATAATTTTCTAAAGGGAAGTCAATTAAACTATATATCGAAATGATTAGGTATCATACGGAAGCTAGTAAAATAAATTTTCAACGACGATAAATTAGACAACAGAAGATAAATATATCAAAAGAAACACAAACATTTAACGTGGTTCGGTCAATTGACCTACGTCCACAGGTGCAGATGAGCAATCAACTATATAAAAGAGAGTACAATATATCGAGAGAACAACCTCACAAAGAGGCACACACAAGTGACAACATAATACTTGTCTCACAAAAACTCCCTCCTAAACAAGATTCTCAAATCCCTTATGGACTACGTTGTGGATGCTGCTAAATGAGAAAGAAGAATCCTCAATTTATAGAAGTCTAAAATATTTTTTCCTCCAAAAAAAAAGACTATCAAAATATGGAAGAATTATATTTTTGTTTTTGTAAAATGTAAAACCAATTATGGTAAATATGTTGCCCTTCCTTCAAGAGATAGAAAAATCAAATATGATAAGAAAATAAGGATAAACACCTAACATGAACTCCTTTCAATACAATACGTGTAAATCCACCCCAGTAGAATATCTCATGCAATTACATATATTTTGATTGAAATGTGCAGGTTTTGACAAAAACTCTCTACTGAAGGCTTGTTGTGGAATAGGAGAAACATATAATTACGACAAAAGTAGAATATGTGGAGCTCCAGGACTGCAAATTTGTACCGACCCTAGTACTTACATCAGTTGGGACGGAATTCATTTGACACAACAAGCCTACAAATGGTTGGCAAGATGGCTAATCGATAACATGCTACCAAAATTGAAATGCCAAGCTTAATTTAGGCTTCCTTTTCTTTTTCTTCGCAAAGTTCATCAATAGATCTATTAAAAATTTAAAAATAGGCCTCTCATTTCTTTCTCATTTGTATATAGAGCAATGCGGAGCGAAGCCATTGTCATAAATTAGAATGTATTCAATCCATTTAGTAGAAAAAGGATATAGACGTTTTCTTCCAAGGTCAATTGCTCAGTATTTAACATAAAGCTTCTTTTTTTTTTTTTAATTTTTTTTTCCGTTTTAGTTTTAGTGGTTAAAAGTTAAAACGTTAACTTAGAAAACCTCAAACAAGAGAAGTAATATTTTTTTTAACCTTTCTTTATTTCTTTTTAATATTTTTCGATTTGTAGTTAACTGGAGAAATGATTGCTTTAATTTTCATATTAGCCACTTCACAACGTTCTGTTCTTGTCTCACATGGATATTAAACTTTCAATCTATTAGAACGTTTAAAAAATATTATAACATGTGAAAAAGGATGGAGTGCTTTTTTTCTTTTTCTTTTTCTTTTTTTCCATTCGGTAGATGGAATGTTCATTCTCGACGTGATGGCGTCAGGCGTGTAACGTTGTGTCTTTTGTGATGTGAAGTCTACGTACCCCAAAAACAACATTATCCTTAACTTCTTTTTATATTTTGAAATAAAAACAAGAATACGTGAACATTGTGTTATGAAGGCTGGGGATAGTGAGCTAATTGATGGCGTGGAAGCCATATCCGACGATATTTTAATATTTTAATGGTTCATAATACCAATTAACACCAGGAATGTTTTTTTTTTTAGAAGAGTTGACTTTTTGAAATGAGCCATGCAATGCTTTTAAAATGTTATATAGCGTGATAATTCAAGGAAATCAGGCCAGCTTGCCTTTTGTTACCTCCCGTACATTTGTACCTCCCGTACATTTGTACGTTTATTTTGTCGTAAGTTAATGGACATAAGTTCAAGAACACGATTATTCTTGAGGTTATAAGTGGTTATGCTAAGTTTAAAAAATGTTGAGAAAGTGTCGTAAGGATTAGAGGTCAACAAATCAAAGAGAATAAGTTTCATCAATGTAAATACCCCGTGCTTTCGGGCTATGGCTTGAGCCGCTCGACGTATGTAAGTAGACCCGAACCACGAAGAATTTTGGTCATATTCAAGTGTAATGACCCGGCCGATCATTTTGATTGTATTAGCCCCGACCATCTATTTACTGTTTTTCCCGTATCTGTTTCTGCTTATGTGACTTGCCGGGAGGTCTTGTTTTTGATTTCGGAGTATTTTGGGACACTTAGTCCCTAAAATGGAAGCTTAAGTCTTAGAATTTTGACTGTAGTCGGAAGTGTGTGAAGACGACTCCGGAAAGGAGTTCCGTCGGTTCCGTTAGCTCTGTTGGATGGTTTTGGACTTAGGAGCGTGTTCAGACTGTGAATTTGAGCCCTGTAGCTAACTTAGGCTTGAAATGACGAAAGTCGAATTTTGGGAAGTTTGACCGGGGGTTGACTTTTTGATATCGGGGTCAGATTCCGATTCCGGAAGTTGGAATAGGTCCTTAATATTGAATTTGACTTGTGTGCAAATTTTGAGGTCAATCGAACGTGGTTTGTAGATTTCGACATCGTTTGTGGCATTTGAAAGTTTAGAAATTCTTTAGGCTTGAATCCGGGTGTAATTGGTGTTTTGATGTTGTTTTGAGTGTTTCGAAGGCTCGACTAAATTCGTATGGTATTTTAGGATTGATTGGTATATTTGGTTGAGGTCCCGGGAACCTCGGATGAGTTTTAGATGCTTAACGGATCATTTTTGTACTTGACTTGATAGCTGAAGTTCTGGTTTCAGAAGGTTCTGGTTTCCTTGTATGCGATCGCCGGTATTCATTCGCGATCGCGTAAGCTAATTTGGGGCAGAGGTGAGCTTGTTCTATGCGATCGTAGAGTTAGGAACGCGATCGCATATGTGTGCAAAGATGTGCTTCGCGAACGCATGGCTAAGGTCGCGTTCACGTAGAAGGATTTGAGCAGGAGGGGAGGTGTGGCCAATGCTCTATGCGATCGCGTAGGTATGAGAGGCAGTGATCCGCGATTGTGTGAGTGATTCCGCGATCGCGTAGGGTAAAAATGTGGGGCATCATAGTTGTACTTCACGATCGCGAGGAATGTTCCGCGATCGCGATAGGATATTTGGGCAGGCAATATTAATTTCAAAAACGAGGGTTTGAACCCATTTTGCATATTTTGAGCCAGAGAACACGGAATTGGGTGATTCTTGAAGGGATTTTCGTGGAGTTGATTGGGGTAAGTGATTCTTACTTGGTTTTGGTTAAATCCCATGATTTTATCTTTAATTTTATCATCTAATTTGTGATTTGGGATGAGAAATTGGAGAAAAAGAGGGAAAACTCTTGAGTTGGGATTTTGATGATTTGAATGAGATTTTGTTATCGGATTTGAGTACATTTGGTATGGTTAGACTCGTGAGTGAATGGGCTTTCGATTTTGTGACTTTTTTTGGATTTCGGGACGTGGGCCTGGGAGCCGGGTTCTGGCCAATTTGGATTTTTGGCTATAATTTAGTACTTTTCTTGTGGAATTGATCCTTTCAGCCTATATTGATTGTATTGTTCTACTTGTGTCTAGATTCGGGATGTTTGGAGACCGATCTGAGAGGCAAAGGCATTTCAAAGCAGAGATTTGTTCGGTTTGAGGTAAGTAACAATCTTAAATCTAGTTTTGAGGGTATGAAACCCCGAGAGTTGATACGATATGAGTGTTTGGAGGTGACGCACATGCTAGGTGACAGGCGTGTGAGTGTGCACCACGAGGGATTATGACTTGGTCCGTCCCGTGAGACTTTAAAGTCGAATAGCCATTGTTATTACTTGTTTTTCCTTGTCTTTGAGCAGTTGACTGCCTTTCATGTTAGAAACCATGCTTAGGCCATATGATACTACTGTTGGGACCCGCATAAGTCGTATAGTTATTGAATTGACTGCTAATTGTTTTCTTGTACTCAGTCATGGTCTTACTTGTGTGTTACATCTCTCTTCCTTCTCAGTTTTTGTTGATACTTGTTGTATTCTCTGTTTGGGCTGATCATGATGATATTCTATGAGTCTGAGGGGCTGGAGAGATTAGTGACTGAGATAGGGCCTGAGTGTCGAGCTGTGAGCTATGTGAGGTTATATGGATCGGGTTGCACGTCGCAACGAGCCTTATGGCTATTTATGGATTGTGGGTCGGTTTGCACGCCGCAACGAGCCTTATGGCTACTTATATGATTGGGTCAGGCTGCACGCCGTAACGATATAGCGCTTGGGCTGAAAGGAGCCCCTCCGGAGTCTGCACACCCCCAGTAAACGCATGTACCTATTGAGAGTGTGTATTGAGAGCTGAGAGTATGAGCTGTTGAGATGAGTTGAGTGACTGCTGCCTTGAGAGGCTGTAGTTGCTTTTATTTATTGTTGCACTTAGTTGTTATCTGTTGTTGTGGTGAAATTTCTGGAAGATTCATATCTGTTTTACTTGAGCTCGAACTGATTTGACTTACACCACCGGAATTGAAAGCATGTTCACTCTTTACTGAAAACTTTTGAAATGAACTGTATTTTTATAGCTCGTCACTGCTTCTCAGTTCCTTATTTAATTCTGTTACTTGCTGACTTGGTTGTACTCATGCTACACCTTGCACTTCATGTGCAGATCCAGGTGTGTACGGTTCTGGCTGTCACTGAGTTCGTGCACGAGCTGACTATCGGAGACTTACGAGGTAGCTGCCGGTGTCCGCAGTCCTTGTTTTTCCTTTCTTGTTATCTTTTCTCTCTTGTATTGGCATTTGACAAAGACTGTAGTAGACTATGTTTTCTAGATTGGCTGTTAGATGCTCGTGACTTAGTGACACCCCGATGTCGGGCTATTTTACTGCACTTATGTTTTAATTGGGTTGTACCCCCATTTTATGAAAAACTCATGTTATTTTAAATGTCTTAATTCATTCCTGTTAAATTTTGAAAGTGTTTTGGAAAGGTTGGCTTGCCTAGTAGCACGATAGGCGCCATCACGACGGGTTAGGTTTTGGGTCGTGACAAGTTGGTATCAGAGCCTAGGTTACATAGGTCTCACGAGTCATGAGCAGGTTTAGTAGAGTCTTATAGATCGGTATGGAGACGTCCGTACTTATCTTCGAGAGGCTGCCAAACCCTTAGGAAACTTCACATTCTTGAATTCTTGTCGTGCAAATCTGTTGATTCTAGTAACTAAACATTTGTTGTTTCATTCTCTCACATATGGTGAGGACTCGTACTACCGGGCATGATGGACAACCACCAGTATCACCAGCCATGGCCGCGAGAGGCCAAGGCCGCGGTAGAGGCCGTGGTAAGGGCAGAGGTGCAGTCCACACAATAGCTGGGGCAGTACATGCAGATCCACCAGTTGCCCCAGATCAGGATCAGATTTCAGTTGTTGATGCACCAGCTCAGGCACAACCTGTGCCTATTGTGATTCCAGGCCTTCAGGAGGCTTTAGCTCAGATTCTGACCGCGTGTACCAGTCTTGCTTAGGAGGTCTCTGTTCCGGCCGCAACATCCACTTCTTAGGCTGGGGGAGGTGCTCAGACTCCCGCTGCCCGCACACCAGAGCAGGTGGTACAGGGATTCCAGACACCGGGGGCACCACCAGCCCAGCCGGTTGTATCTGCTCAGGACTATATGGTTCCTGCTACGCCTGAGGATGAGCAGCGTAGATTGGAGAGGTTTGGGAGACTCTAGCCTCCATCTTTCAGTGGTGTAGAGGGAGAGGATGCACAGGGTTTCTTGGACAGATGTCAGAGGATACTCCGTACAACAAGTATTCTAGAGGTCAGTGGGGTCTCGTTCACTACTTTTTAGTTCTCTGGGGCCGCCTTTAGCTGGTGGGAGGATTACGAGAGGCGTAGACCGGTTGACGCAGCACCCTTTACGCGGAAGCAGTTCTCCGGTCTATTCCTGGAGAAGTTCGTGCCACATTCCCACAGAGAGGAGCTACACAGGCAGTTCGAGCAACTTCGTCAGGGTGATATGTCTGTGATGCAGTATGAGAGACGATTCTCGGAGTTGGCCCGTCATGCTATCTGGTTGGTTCCCACAGACAGGGAGAGGATCGGAAGGTTTATAGATGGCCTCACTTTTCA